AAAAAAAAAAAAAAATCCTTTCCATATAATACGGAAAGTCCACATTTCTCAGGAAATGCATACATTCATCTAATAGTAAGGTCCAAAATGAGAGTTACTATCTCCAGAAGAGGGTGCGGGAGGCAGTGGTGGAGGGGGAGGCGGTGGGGGTAGGGAGTATGGTAAATTGAGTAATGGATGAGATGCCATGTTAGGTGCAGCCCAACCCATGTGCATAGATGGGGGTGGTGGTGGCGGTGGTGGAGGGACTGCAAAATTATGCATATCAAACACTGGAGGAGGAAAAAGATATTGTGGCATAATAGTATTATCTTGTCTCTGTGGAGCAAATCCTGAAGTCTCCTGAGATACCACATGTTCTGAGTTATAAAACTGCTGAGGTGGAGGCCTGCCATGGCAAGACTGAGGATATCTACCCCTGGAAAATCCTCGTGTGAATTCTCTGTTGCAATATCCTCTTGCATATTCTGAAGCTGAGCCATGAGCATTCCAATTCTGATGTACTTCAGCAAAATCTTCACCTTTGAGTGGGAAAAAAAAGCATAAAAACAAAATGAGTATATCAGAATGCACTGTTTATTTCAAGAATGGCTTTTCTTTAATGCCTGGTATATCTTATAGCAATTAAAAAAAACCTGTTGATCTTAAATGAATTGAAAAGAGGAAAATTAAAGCCAAAGGATCAGGAAAGAAAAGCCTAGCAAGACAGCAAACATTCAGATAACCACTCTGCTCCAGCCAAACACCACAGAAAAAACTGTGGCATCATCCCCACCCACACTGTAAATTTCTACCCTTGACAGGCTATAATGATGTGCTCCAACCCTCCTGCCAGGGTAATGTCAATAGCAGGTTGAGTAGGATGCCAGTAACAAGGCTTCCCTGCAATGATAGTAGCAATCACACGGGGAACCTAGACTTCAACCTCTACCAGTAGTAACACAGTGTTCTTTCCACCTCGTGCACTGGGGTGGTGTCAGAGAAGACTGAGTGAAGAGTCAGGAATTTCATCACTGCCCAAAGGCCATGCAGCACTTGTGTCAGTGGGTGCCACATGGTGAACAGGGATGAGGTACTCCTACCCCTATCAGGCACAAAAGAAGACTCAGTGGGGAGTCAGAACTTCTACTCTCGCCCAGCAGTAACAAGGCACCCCTTGGCCTCAGGTGTCAACAGAGGCTAAGAGGAAAACCTGGACTTCAATCTCCCC